ATTCTGGTGTTAGAAGAAACAAAATCGTATATTAGATGCTGATTTAAAGCACATACAGCTTCTTGAAGAACCTTGCCCCAGCCCTGCAAAGTATTACCACCTAGCTGGTACTATAACTAGATCTTCAAAAGGCCATTCCCCAGTTTTATCAAGGTATCTGCTTGAGGATGCTGGGGAACATGGCAAGAACAGTGAATTCCCTGAGCATGGGCCCATTGCCACACTTTATTTGCTGTATTTGTTGTTAGTCAGGGTTCTCCAGAGAAACAGAATATACATATATAATATATATGATTATATATTGCATTATATTTTATTATGTATATTTATAGAAAGATATTTCTTTTAAGGAATGGGTTCATCCAATTAAGGAGGTTGAGAAGTCCCACATTCTGATATCTGTAAGTTGGAGATGCAGGAAAGCTGATGGTGTAATTCAGTCCAAGTCTGAAGGCCTGAGAACCAGGAGTGCCAAAGTCAGGAAAATATTGATATCCCATCTTAAGCAATCAGGCAGGAATAAAAAAGGGGCAAATTCTTCCATCCTCTGCCTTTTGTTCTATTCAGGCTCTCAATAGATTGAATGATGTCTACCCACACCGGGAAGAGTAATCTCCTTTACTAGATCCATCAATTCAAATACTAATCAGAAACACTCTCCAGAGTGTCATCCAGAAACACTCTCACAGACATACTCAGAAATAATATTTAATCTGGGCACCCTGTGGCCAGTCAAGTTGACATAAAATTAACCATTACAAAAATAATGCCATGTGGAATACCATGACAATGGATAAGGCATTCTGTAAGTCCATGAATGAGAGTTTTGACAAAAGAATTGCATGCAGGGAAGGTAAATCCATATCCAGAGTAAGTCTCTATTCCAATAAGAACAAAACACTGCCCTTTTCATGATGGAAGTGGTCCAATATAATCAGCCCACCACCAGGTAGTTGGTTGATCACCTGGGTAATGGTGTCATACTGGGGACTCAGTCTTTACTAATGGCAGATTGGACATTCAATATTTGCTGTAGACAGGTCAGTCTTGGTGAGTGGAAATCCATGTTGCTAAGGCCATGTATTACCTCCATTCCTGCCATGATGGCCACTTTGACCATGAGTTCACTGGACAATGACAGGAGTAGCTGGAGACAGAGGCTGCCTGGTATACACAGATTGGGTCATTCTATCTACTTGATTATTAAAATCCACTACTGAAGTCATTGTTTGGTGAGCACTCACATCGGAAACAAATATCTTTGCCTTTTTTGCCCATTTGAGAGGTCTGTCCATGTATCTCTTCTTAAGACTTCCTTTTCACCAATTTTCAGTCATGTTCTTTTCAAGTCCTTGGCCATCCAGCCAAAACATTGGCCACAGCCCATGTATCAGCACATAATTTCATGTTTGGTCATTTCTCCTCCCAAGAAAAATGAACAACCAGATGCACTTCTAGAGGTTCTTCCCACTGTGAGTATTTTCTTTCACCACTATCCTTCAGGGATGTCCCAGGAAGGGGCTATTGTGCTACATGTGTCCACTTTCAGGTGGTGCCTACATATCTGTAAACCAGGCTGGACTTTTCTCTTCCTCTGTCAACTGATTGTAGGAAATCCCCATGAAGACATAGGTGCAGGTTGGGGGAGACAAAGTAATATAGCAGGAGAAACCATTGGCATTCAGGCCACTTCATGAAACTTACTTGTGCTTTCAGGACCTGCTCAGGCTCAATCTTGCATTTACCACTTCTATTTGATGTTGGAGTGCTGCTATGCATGCTTAACTTTATGGTTTGGTGGTCAGACAATATCCAGTTCATGAAGGGCAGCTCTGGTTGCATGGTAATTTTTTCACCCCTGGTCAAGTCAGTTTCTACTAAGACCCAGTGGCAAGAAAAAAGCTGTTTCTCAAGAGGATAGTAGTTATCCACAGAGGATGGCAAGGCTTTGCTCCAAAATTCTAAGGATTCACGTTGTGATTTACCTATAAGGGCCTGCCAAATTCTCTAAACTGCATCTTTATCTGCCTCTGACACTTCAAGTGCTATTGGACCTGCTATACCATGTAGCCCAAGTGACAGAGCAGCTTGCACAACAGGCTGGATCTGTTGCAGAGCCTTTTCCTCTTCTGGACCCCACTCAGAACTAGCAGATTTTTGGATCACTCAGTACATGTGCTGGAGTAGCACACTCAAATGAGGAATATATTACCTCCAAAGTCCAAAGAGACCCACTAGGTATTGTACCTCATTTTTGATTATAGACGGGGCCAGATGCAACAACTTATCCTTCACTTTAGAAGGGATATTTCAACATGCTCCACATCACTGGACCCCCAGAAATTTCACTGAGGCAGAAGGTCCCTGATTTTTTTGTCAGAGTTACTTCCTACCCTCTGACATGCAAATGTGCTACCAATAAGTCTAGAGTAATTGCTACTTCTTGCTCTTTAGGTCTAATCAGTATAATATCACTGCTGTAAAGGACCAGTGTCATGTCTTGTGGAAGAGAAAGACAATCAAGACTCCTGAGAACTTATGACATAGGGCAGGAGAGTTATCCTACCCCTCAGGTAGGATACTGAAGATGTATTGCTGACCCTTGCCAACTGAAAGCAAACCGCTTCTGGTGGTCTTTACTAAACGATATGGGGGAAAAAATTTTTTTCTAGATCAATAGCTGCATACCAGGTGCCAGAAGATGTGCTAACTTGCTCAAGCAATGAAACCACATCTGGTGCAGCAGGTGCAAATGGAGTCACCACCCGGTTCAGCTTACAATAACCCACTGTCATTCCGCAAGATCTGTTTTCTGAACAGGTCAAATAGGTGAGTTGAGTAGAAATGTGGTAGAAATCATCTCCCCTGCATCCCTCGAGTCCTTCATGGTAGCACTAATCTCTACAATCCCTCCAGGAATGCAATCTTGCTTTTGATTTATTATTTTCCTAGGTAAAGGCAGTCCCAATGGCTTCCACTTGACCTCTCTCATCATAATAGCCCTCATTCCACAGATCAGAGAGCCAATGTGGGGATTCTATCAGTTGATGGGTATGTCTGTTCCAATTATGCACTCCAGAACCAGGGAAATAACCACAGGGTGGGTTCAGGACCCACTGGGCCCACTGTGAGATGGACCTGAGCTAAAACTCCATTGATCACCTGACTCCATAAGCCCCTATCTGACCAAATGGGACCAAAGTGGACCAAAATGATATTTTCAGTCTCCTAGAATTAGTGTCAATTCAGAGCCAGTGTCCAGTTATCCTACAAAGTCTGATTATTTCCTTTCCCCCAGTGCACAGTTATCATGCACTGGGTAAAAGGCTGCAGGTCTCTTTGGAGAAGGCGGGGGGAAAGATTAACAGTATAACTTTTTGGCAGTGTATCAGGGCTCTTCCTCAAGGGGACCCAGCCTCCCCTTCATCCAAGAAGTTCCTGGTCTGTAAACTAGCTCAGGTCTAGGAATTGATTGAGGGACCATGATTCTCTGTTTTTATGATTCAGATTTTTGTTCACTTGACTTAGAATTCTTACACATATACATATCAAGTAAGAATTTAGTACATTTCCCATCTATTTCACTTCTAAGGACACCATGATCAACTATCCACAGTCATAGGTCTCTGTGAGTCAGAATATTCTGATTCCTCTTTGACTTTGCTGTCCATTTTAGTAACTGCACCCACTTGGCCTTTGGTGATCAAGTGCTGCCACTTGGCCCCTGCCACCCTGGGATTCAATTATTCCTATTGCATTTAGGTTTCCCAATTCTGCCACATCGGATCCCACTGTAATTTCTGATCTACAGACAAGAGCAATCACTGAGCTCTTCATGAATGCTGGGGCTCTCTTCACAAATTTATTTCTCACAGTCATGAAGAAAGGTGAGTCTTTTGGATGCTTCCAAGGTGAATGAGCAGATCTTAAATGAAATCTCCGCTCTAATATTCCAATAACCCTCAACCTTTGGACCCCTTTCTTATAGTATACAAGGCAGTTCTGATATTTCATCTTTATTTAGTGTAGGCCACTTTTTGCTCCATGTTTCAGGCAACCAACCAAACAAACTGTTACAGCCCTGTCTAACGACCCAAGCTACAACGTTTAGTGCAGAATATCTGCTAGGTGGATCTATACCAATAAATTTGGCCTAATCCAACTTTACGTCCCTTCCACAATTATCACACACCCCTTAATATCCATTCCATACATATTCCCTGGGTTTATGTCTATATAAAGTGGAAAAAATCATGTAGTTCTTTTGGAATGTAGAACACCTATTCATGGGTCACACTTTGTACCACACCTTGTGGGGCCTACTGGGACCTGAGTCCAGTTATATGTCTAGAAGCAAAGAAAGATGATGGGATGGGCCCTGAAGAGAACCAGCAGTGTCTTGCAAGGCAACTACAGGAGAGGCCATTACAGTTTCCTTGGGCAAAGCAGGGTTAATTTTCTCAGATGAGGGTTGTAAGGCTGTTTCTAGTGACAATAAAAGACTCGGAAGAATTTAGAAATTCAGTGTCCCAGCTTTCTTAGGATCCTCCCAAATGTCCCCATTCCAATTTTCAAGTTCCCAGAAATGGGACAATTAGACACCATATGAAGCTTGATATCAGGCTTTAAGAGGACACAACACTACTTCTGTGGGATCACTGCAAAAATGTGTCGCTGAATCTAGTCAAGAGGAACATCAGACAAACCCAAATTGAGGGGCATTCTAAAAAGTGAAGGGCTCTCAAAATATGCCCAGGTCATGAAAGACAAAGAGCCTGAAGGACTGTCACAGACAGGAGGAGACTAATGAATCATGACACTAAAGCAGTGTTGGATCCTGGACTAGATTCTGAAACAATAAAAATTTATTTTGCTATAAAGGACATTACTGACGCAAATGACGAATTTGAACAAGGTCTGTAGATACAGAGGCCTCAAGGGAACCAGGAGTTGAGGACAGGGTAGGAGGAAAAGATGATATAAGTAGGCATAAAAATCAGTCAAGGCAAGAGGGAATGCAGATTTCTAGTTTTATTGTGTCACATCAGGCTGGGGTATGCAAAAAGATAAGCTGAGGAGACACACAGGGTCTGAGCTTTGGGGTTCCCGGGGCAGCCACACATAACGGAAATATGAGGAAGGAGATCAGTAAATGGGTTTGGGGGAGAGGCTTTGGGCTCCTTGGATACCAGGGCACAGGGATCCTCTGGAACAGAGCTCAAAGGCCTCACCCAGACCTTTCAGCAACATGGGCAGGTCCAGCAGAAGGAGCAGGAGGAGGAGGAAGGATTTGACCATTTGCTGCCCTCAAGTCTGTTCTTCTTGGCTCAGGGTCACTTCAGCAGCAGCCTCCAGAGGACTGACGGCTCCCCTCGCCACAGCAGCTGGAGCCCCCCGAGGGCTGGCTGCAGCAGTCAGAGCTCTGGTGTCTGCGGCGGTGGGACCTGCAACACCTGTGGTGGCTCAGGCAGCAGCCGCCTCCCCCAGAACTACAGCAGCCCCCAGAGCTGGGGCCACAGCAGCCCCCAGAGCTGACACTGCAGCAGGAAGAGGCAGGAGGGCACTTTGGGGGGCATTTCGGGGTGGGGCACTTGGGAGGGCACTTGGGGGTGCACTTGGGAGGGGGCCGGCACTGCTGCTGGCTCTGCTGGCAGGACATCTCAGCGGGTGGGCGTTCAGGAACTAAGGGAGAGTCAAACAGCAAGTCAGACCCAGCACACAGAGGCCACCCTGCCCCTCCTTTTCCTTTCAGCATCATTTCTCGCCCCTCTATTTTGAACTGTTTAAATGGAGTCTTAGATAGTTAAACATTGGAAGTTTTGTTATTTCTAATGGTTGGGCAAATGCTCTCACAGTAACTCCTTGAGTCTCATAATTTCTGCTTAACATAGGAGGGAATTATTATGTCTTTTATAAAGAAGGAAACTGAGGCAAAAATCAATGAGAAAAAACCTGCCATAATTAGATATCTAGTAAGCAAAAGAGGCACTATCTCCCATCGTGTCAACTAGAATCCTGAAACTGTCCAGTCTGGAAACCAGTTCATAATGTAAATATTCTCTTGAAGAAAGAAAATTAAGGATTGCTTCTTAGAGTAACTTCCTAGGTGATTTTGTTCTGTAAAGACTTGGACATACAGATTGCAAATAGTCTGGGAAGCTGACTGGTCTCACTGGCTCACTTTCTTGAAGGAGCTGAAGAACAGTACTTTTGTGCATGTAGGGGATTTGAGCTCAGGTATCCTGGCTGGAGTCTGATGCTCTGCCATTTTCAACACACCAAGGCCTCACACTAATATCTTGGCACAATGATTTTCAACTTGTGTCTGCCTTCTTAGATTCTCAATTCCAATTCAGTGGGGGTTTTTTTGTTGTTAGTTCCGGGGAGCCAATTCCAACTTCTAGCGACCTTGTGTACAGCAGAGTAAAACCCTGCGTGCTCTTTTTGGCCATCCACTCGTCTTCCTGTGCTATAACAGATACTGCTCTGCTGCTATTCATAGGGTTTTCATGGCCAATTTTTTTGGAAGTGGTTGGCCAAGTCCTTCTTTCTAGTCTGTCTTAGTCTGGAAGCTCCGCTGAAACCTATCCACCATGGGTGACCCAGCTGGCATTTGAAATACTGGTGGCATAGCTTTCAGCATCACAGTAACACGTGGCTGTCACAGTATAACTAATGACAGATGGGCAGTGTGGTTCCCCGACCAGGAAGCTATACCCACAGCAGTGAAAACGCAGAACCTTAACCACCAGACCACCAAGGCTGGCTGACAGGTGGGTTTTAAAGAGCCCCAAAACATCCTCTGATTGACTCTTTCCCTATTGGTTAATAACTGTCTCCAGTTCATCTTTTCAAAGAGGGTCACGATTTTACTCTCAAAGTTGACGCCCCTTGTGAAAGCTGTCCTAGTAGAGCCTAATGGTCGGTGCTTCGATTCCCTCTGACCTGAGAGCCCAGCCAACTGGAGCTCAATTTGGTACAGCACAAGGGTCCAGCTGTCCAATTCTCCCTTGTGGTCCCAGGTGGCCTACTCCCCATGCACACCTTCCCTCAGTCTTCCTGAGGCCTCTCTCCCCCTGTCCACAAGGTCCCTAGTTCCCCATGGCCCTGTCCCATCTGCCCTCCTGCTCTGGTCTGAGCATCCGTCTGTGGCAGGCCCGTTCCCATTTCCAGTGGACACTTACCAGCGCACAACCAGCACAGGGTCCGGCAGCGCCGCAGGAGGGAGTGGATGGAGGTGCTCTGGCCCCAGACCCTTTTATCCTGGCCTTGGGCTCTGTCCCCAACCTGTGAGACAGGGCCTGGGCATGAGAGGACCGCCTCCTGCTGCCCACATGGGTCCTGTGACAGGTGATGACTGGTAGCTCCTCCCTTGGCTCCCTCCCTGGGGCCCAGAGCAGCTGCTCCCCCCTGAGAATAGGACTGCTTAGAAGTGGAGGCAGGGGAAAAAATCCCTACAATCATTCCCACCTTACTTTCCCTAGAGGGTGCCTGCCTTGCTTCATTTTGGAGTTTGAGTTCCCAAGCTCTCTTTTCTTGCCTCGCTAATCTTAACTCAGTGGCTCTGGACAATCGATTTAAACTAAGTTTCACAGAATCCTCCAACTCTTGATTATCTTATACGTGAGTGTGTATGTGTGTGTTTGCCTGTGCATGCATATGTATGTGTATTATAGCAATTAAGACACTAGTTACAGAGTCAGACAGACCTAAGAGAGAACCTTGGTTCTGCCACCTATTAGCTGCATGACCTTGTGAAAAATATCATATCCTTCTTGTTCTCAGTTTTGTCAATCTACAATAGAGATAATACAAAATTAACTGTCCAGGGGTGTGTGAGAGTCGGTGGGCTAATACAAAGGAAATTTCTGGTAGAGAGTTTATAACATTTAATATTCTCTAAACAAATGCCAATACACTCATTTTTTTAAAAATCATAACTGCCGTCTAATGAGAGCAGATCTGGTTAGAAAATACAAGACCCTTTTGTTCTGTTGACGTTATCACTAGGTTTTAATAAGAAAATGTGAATCAGGAATGAAATTTTCTACAGGAGGGAGAGAGAGATGACTTGATCTGCTAATTAGAGTGAGAATTCAGAGTTCCCAGGGGTCATATGGAAGAGCTAGTGAAGTCCACAGACAAGAAAGAGGACAGGTAATGAAGAGACGGTGAGACGGTGCAAGGCCGGGCACTGCCTGGTGTCAAACAGCCACTCTACGCTCCTAGTAGAGTGGAGGTTGGAGGATGTTTAAGAACAGGAATATCTAATATTTCAAATGATTTTTTGTCTCTGTTTTATAAGCCTCTCTCAACTCCTAGTATCTTAGGGCCTCAATTCGGTTATCTATCCGAGCACAGGCTTTCCTTGAAAGAAATATTGGTATTTTCACATTTTTAGGATATTGAAGGAAAGGGCTAGAGTTTACATCTAGGTTGGTAGTAAGTCAGATTAAACAATGAGAATAATTTATCAGGTGAAGGAGAATTCAAGCTAGAGATGATCACATGAAGAAAGTATACTTCCCTCCAGGCTTGGGGAAGAACTCTGGAATTCCTTAAATGTGAGTGAATGTTGATTTGATCATATCTAGGTCACTTTGTGCTGTATGAACCCTACTAGTATGTGGTTGAGATATGTGTGTGTATATACTTGTGTATATTTCTACTTAGAGATGTTACAGAGACTATGAGAGCGACTAAATATGTGAATGTATGATATTCACACACACACATATATATCTTACCATGTTTCTCTCAGCATCTGGTATTGCCTGGTGTCCAGCCTTCCCTAAATTGCTCTGCCTCTTATCTACCTTATTTCTCCTTTGTTCTGTTCCTTATTGGGTTTCAATTCCTCATTGAGTTCTATTCCTCACTGGGTTCCATCTCCCATCCTCAGCAATAATTGCCCCAGACTATTAAGGAAGTCTCATCTTGGGGTCCTCACTGGGTCCACGATGAGCCGCAATCTCTATTGACTGATGTTTGAGGCCTGTGTAATGCGACCCTTTGCTACATCTCCAGTTCAGGATTGCTACTTCCCTTTAAAAATGTTCTTCTTAAGCTGAAATGGCCTATTTTCTCTCATTTTAATTTGAACAAATTCTCTTTGAACAAATTCTCTTTGAATTTGTTTCTTTCTGTCAAATTCGCATGCTTTGTTCCATGATCTATGCACTTCTAAAACTGTGCTGTTCAAATACACCTTGCTGTGATATCCTTTATGAGTCTTTTCTCTCAAATGCACTTATAATAAACTCTCCTTGAGTCTCCAGCTTAGATCTTGTATGTTTGTATCTCTCACCAGCTCCTGACACAGGGCTGTTCATTCAATGGGTAATCAGTTTAAAAATTTATTCATTACTTTATGATTTAAGCTATAACATTACTTTGTGATTTAAGCAATCATCATCAGATTTCTCACTCTGAGATATTCACATTACAGTGTACTAGCCTTATCACTCTGTAGAAATCTGCCACTGAATTACCTGGTTATGGTTCATGTTGTTTCACAGAGTGTAGCAAGACATTGATTACTTAGCTCACATAGGTAATTTTGATTCAGGAGCCCAGCTCATCCATTCCAAGGATGATGAGACTTACAAGCTATTCTGTCCATGCCTCTGCTACCACAAAGGGCAGTGCTGAAAACATCAGTGAGTCTGACTTGGGTTTAGGTAACAAGATATCAGCAGGATGTAACATCCTGAGGACTGGTGTTAGATCTCAATGGCATGGGTACCATCCTAAGGAAAACAATGTGCACCAGCAAAGGATTGATTTTCTGAGAGATTATGTTTCTTGTGTCATTAGGCTCTCATAATCCCCAGAGACAGGAGGGAAGAATGCTGAGACCTGGTGAGAATTAATTCAGACTCAGTGAATTTTACTCTGTGTCCCAGATCCAGCACTACACACGTAAGCAAGTCTTAATTTGTTTCCTTACACTGCAAACTTCTATTTATAGTAGTAACAACAAATTAGTACTCCAAAATTACTAGAATGTGTACCTGATTATTTCCTTATAAATAGTTGAGTAAAATATTTTGAACATGGCAAAAAATATTGATAAAATTCACCACATGGTTAAAAAACAATCTGCCTGGCAGAAAGTATCATTAAAAAAAAAAAAAAAGATGAGAAAAAATAAATAACTAGCTGAGGAAAATAAAATATACAGGTCAGTAATAGAATTAAAATCCATAATAAACAGTAAGTTCTTACAATTTTACAGTAAATAAATAAATCTATCTACAAATGAATGGACAAAACACACAAAAAAATAGCTCAGAAAGAAAGACAAATGACCAATAAATTTTGAAATTTATTATTCATGTTTGTGCATGCAAATAACCAGAGAACTACATGTAAAACAAGGATGACTTTTCAGGGATGCAGTCTGTCAGATTTATTCCTTGATATAGAACTGGAAAAGACTTAAAATAGATAACAAAACCCAGTATTGCTGAAGGTGATCAAAAAAGGGTCTTCTTCTTGTGGAAATATAAATTGACATAACCACCTGGATAGAAATTTGGTGATTCATTATTCAACAAATAATTATTGCTGTGTATGGAAACTAAAATTTAAAATTAGCATACCCTTTTACATAGCAATTGACTTCTAAGAATGCAACCTAAGGAGAAAAGACTTGATAGAGAAAAGATATGTGTGTAAGAATGATTACTAAAGGAAATTAAAATAATAGTAAGAGCTAGAAAAGTTGCAACATATAAGATCAGAATACAGAATAAATTAGATTTATATTAATCAATAATAAATAATTAAAAAATATAATTTTAGGAATTGCTATTTTAAATAAATAACAAAAAATACATAATGTCTAAGCATAATTTTAGTGTAAAATACTTTTGATAAAATGACAAGACTCTATTAAAAGGCATTACAGAATACCAAAATGAATAGAGATATACCATATTCATGGATGCATACAAAGGAAAATTATCATAAAATTTGACAATCTTTCACAAATTAATGCATATATTCGATGAAATTTTCATCAAAATTCTAATGATGTTTTGTTTTGTTTTTCTTTATTTTCATTTGTGGGACATGACAAGCTAACCCTAAAGTTTATATGAAAGAGCAAAAGTCTAGTAATCACCAAGACAATCTTAAGGAGGAGAACAAAATTATGGACCCTGTGTGATTATATATCACAAGTGATTATACACTTATAATAATTACAGTAGCAGGATATTCTCACAGGGATGACAAATTGTCATTGAAAAGAATGACCAATCCAATTACAGATCTACACATATGTGGAAAGTCTCTTAGGACTGAGGAGACACTCAGATTAGTGGGGAAAGTAGACTATTTGATTATGATATGGAGACGACTGATTATCCATTTGGAAAAAAATATTAAATATAAAACGTACAAAAATTCCTTTCTGGGTTGAATAAAGACCTTAGTTTTAAAAAGAAAACAAATTTTTACAACTTTTTTTATTGAGGTAACATTGGTTTACAAGATTATATAAATTTCAATTGAACATCATTATATTTCTATTTCTGTGTAGACTACATCCTGTTCACCACCCAAGTCTAATTGCCATCCATCACTGTACACATGTGCCCTTTTACCTCTTTTGTCCTCCCTCTTCCTCCTTCCCTTCTGGTAACCACCCATCTATTCTCTGTGTCTATGTGTTTGTTTGTTGTTTACAACTTTTTACAGAATACAGAAAAGAATACATTTCTGAGCTTATGAATGGTTAAGATCTCTTAAAATCACGAAAAGTGCAAACAACATAGTGAATATTGTAGAATTATAGATATATTAAAAATAAAACAACTGTTCATCAAACGACACCATTAAAAAGCAAACAAGAAAATAATTTGAGGAAAGACATTCACAACTCATTTAAAAATAGTGCATTAGTAACCAGAGTATTCAAAGAACACTTTACAGATTCTAACAAAAAGAGACAAATAGAAAAATAATTTTTAAAAAAGAATAGACAATTTACAGAGGAAGAAACCCAAATGACCAACAGACACATAAAAGGATGCTCATGGTCATTACTGAGCAGGAAACACATATTAAAACTACAACGTTAAACCAATTCACATGCAACAAGTGGCAATTATTTAAGTTTAGCAACAATGTGTAGGAGGAGCGAATCTTATGTACCATAAGTGGAAATAGAAATTGACAAGAACAAATTGGAGAGATTGGCATGATCTAAAATCCAGCAGTTCCACTTGAAGGCACTTAATTTAGAGTGTCTGTCCAACATGTGTGCAAGCAGACACACACAAAAATTTCCATAGCTGCAACATTTATACAGCAAATAGTGCAAACAACCTAAAAGCCCATCCAAAAGAGATAGGATAACAAAATCATGCTATGCTCATAGAGTGAACACTATACAGTTTTAAAAATTAATAAACTATAGCTATATAGGTCACTTCAAATAACTCTCAGAAATAATGTTAAAGAAGAGATCAAGTTACAGATGAGTACCTCAAGCATGATGCTATTTTCATTAAGTTGAAACCACAAGCTATAAAACATATTGTTTCAGGGTTACCAGTATGGAATAATATATGAAGGAGTGCTTTAAAAGCTTGGTTTAAATCAGATGGTATGTAGTCATTAAATTAACATTGGGGAGACAAGGGAAGTGTTGGGAGTGTTGGGAGGGGGGAGTTCCAAAAATGAGAGGTGAGAACCTTCAAGGCAGGCACCCTCTGGGGAGAACAAGGTGGGAGTGATGGTAGGGATTTTCCCACCCCACTTGCATTTCTAGGCAGCCTTATTCCTGGCTGGGAGCAGCTGCCCTGAGCCCCATGGAGGGAGGCAGGTGAGGAGCTGCCAGTCATCACCCTGTCACCGGACCCATGTGGGCAGCAGGAGGCAATCCTCTCATGCCCAGGCCCTGCCTCACACACTGGGCACAGAGCGCAAGGCCAGGATAAAAGGGCCTTGGGACCAGAGCACCTCCATCCACTCCCTCCTGAGGAGCTGACGGACCCTGTGCTGCTTGTGCACCAGTAAGTGTCCACTGAGAATAGGAGTGGGCCCTCCACAGAGGGATGCCCAAACCAGAGTGAGAGGGCAGGTGGGGGCATGGCCTTTGCAGTGTGTGTGGCGGGGGGCGGTGTGAGAAGAGGATTAGGTTGCATCCATATTGGCAAAAGAACAAGTCTCAGGAAAGCTGAGGAAGGGGGGCAATGAGGAAGGCTAGGAATATGAGGAGGAGATGCATAATTGTGACTTAGTGCTCTAGAGAAACCAAATTAATGTGTTGTTGTTGGATCTCTGGTCTGAAGGATTTGCAATATTGACCATCATACCAACCTATAACCATTTTCAAAATGGGAGGATTATCTTTGAAAACATAATTGTCCCTCCTGGAAAAGTTGAGATGGGAACTGTGGTTCTCAGCCGGTAAGGAGGAAATCATAGCTGACAGACCTGTTTTAAGAATTCAGATTAATGGGTCTGCAGAGTCAAGTAGACACAACCCAAATGTTGGAGCTGAGGTATTTGTTTTAGGTGAGTGTCTGCTGAGAATGCAGGAGCATTGGACCTTATCAAGGCCTGGGTGCCAGTCCCAGTTCACATTAACTGACACTGTCCCCCAGCTAGTTCTCCCAGGCAATCTCCAACATTCTTTGCAATTGTGAACTTCTATATCCCCACAGGACAAGATTATCTACGACATTCTTCAAGAGGGAATGACTGATTTCCCTAGAGAAATGATTTCATTTCTAAACTACTTCCTAGATTAATTGTTTCCGTGATACTTGTGGTGTAATTGCAATAGAAAATCTGCTCTAGCGACTAGATATTTATTTGACTTTGAGAACATTTCCTTCACATCTTGTGGTCTCAATTTTCTAATAATAAAAGAGTTGAAAATGCCTCATAAGAACATTGTGTTCAAAGAGAGGATATGAGAGCATTTGGGCAACTATTAGAAATAATGAAACTTCTAGTGCTTAATTTTCTAAGACCACTTTAGACAGTTCATCAAAATAGAGGAACTAGAAATGATACTGAAAGGACAAGGAGGGGCAGGGTGGCCTCTGTGTGCTGGGTCTGACTTGCTGTTTGACTTTCCCTCAGCTCCTGAACGCCCACCCGCCGAGATGTCCTGCCAGCAGAGCCAGCAACAGTGCCAGCCCCCTCCCAAGTGCACCCCCAAGTGCCCTACCAAGTGCCCCACCCCGAAATGCCCCCCAAAGTGTCCTCCAAAGTGCCCTCCTGCCTCTTCCTGCTGCAGTGTCAGCTCTGGGGGCTGCTGTGGCCCCAGCTCTGGGGGCTGCTGTAGCTCTGGGGGAGGCGGCTGCTGCCTGAGCCACCACAGGCGTCGCAGGTCCCACCGCTGCAGACACCAGAGCTCTGACTGCTGCAGCCAGCCCTCGGGGGGCTCCAGCTGCTGTGGAGAGGGGAGTGGTCAGTCCTCTGGAGGCTTCTGCTGCTGAAGTGGACCCTGAGCCAAGAAGAATAGACTTGGGCGCAGCAGATGGCCAAATCCTTCCTCCTCCTCCTGCTCCTTCTGCTGGACCTGCCCATGTTGCTGAGAGATCTGAGTGAGGCCTTTGAGCTCTGTTCCAGAGGATCCCTGTGCCCTGGTGTCCAAGGAGCCCAAAGCCTCTCCCTCAAAGCCATTTACTGATCTCCTTCCCCGTACTTCCATGATGTGTGGCTGCCCTGGGAACCCCAAAGCTCAGACCCTGTGTGTCTCCTTAGCTTATCTTTTTGCATACCCCAGCCTGATGTGACACAATAAAACTAGAAATCTGCATTCCCTCTTGCCTTGACTGATTTTTATGCCTACTTATGTCATCTTTTTCTGCTACTCTGTCTTCAACTCCCACTTCCCCTGAGGCCTCAGGATCTATAGACCTTGTTCAAATTTGTCATTTGTGCCACTAATGTCCCTCATAGCAAAATAAATTTTTGTTGAGTCAGAATCCAGTTCAGGATCCAACACTGCTTTAGTGCCATGACTTATTACCCTTCTCCTGTCTGTGACAGTCTTTCAGGCTTTCTGTCTTTGTCTTCCTCTTTCATGACCTTTCATTTTTGTAGAATGCCCCTTAATTTGGTTTCGTCTGACGTTTCTTCGTGACCAGATTTGGTTAAGCATCTTTGCAGAGATCCCACAGAAATGGTTCTGTATCCTTCTTAGAGCTTTACTTTTTAATTTGTCAGATGTATTTTTATATTAGGGACATTAATTCCTTACCTGGCACATGTGTTGTATTTTTCTCTAGTTGATTGTCTTTTTGCTTTATATGGGGGTATTTTTTGCCTTATTATTAAATTTCTATATACTTTATCAGTCCTTTCCTTTATATATTATGAGATTTGTGTCATTCTTAAAATACCTTCCCCCCACCTAATAATTAAGCAATAATCATTTATATTTTCTATTTCTTTAGAGTATTGTTTCATCATTTATAATTTAAAAGAAAGACTTGAAGGGAAGAAAAAAAACCTAAAATTTGTTAATGCGCTAGTTTGTAGCTCAGAAGGGTGGAGAGTGTGAAGGCACAGAGAAAAATTAATTCAGTCTGAATTATTTCCCATACAATCTCAGCAGTGCCCCCTCCAGCTCCCTGAGAAGGTCAGAGATGACAGTAGAAGAGATAGACCCCTTGAAAGAATAAGCGTCTTCAGAAAGCCTTTGCTAGTCAAACGTGTTTATTGAATGATCTCAAAGCCATTGATAGCTCATAGCTAAGGCCACAGGGTCAGTCAACGTGATGTAGTTGTAACCATGCTGCCGACTCATCCCCTAAGTTCAAGAAGATTGATAGTTCGGGTGCTGCCCTGCCTTAAGGCAGAGGCATGGACCAGATAACCTCTTCTCCCCATCATCAGGGTGCATTCTGTTCATTGGGAAGCAGAATAGAAATTGGAGAAGTTGTGCAGGGTCATCCTGCACAGAGCCTTGGACGTCAGTCAAAATGCTGGTCTTGATCCTGAACATAGCGTGGAGCCCTAGATGAGCCTTCCTTAAAAGTCAGAAGTAATGATTCCTGGAGTGGGGGGTGGTGGAGAGAGGACATGTTTGGATCCTAGTGAAAATTAGAATCAAGGAGAAACCATTACAGATGCGAGGCAGTGGAGCTTCAGGGAAAGTTGTATACCTTGAGATACCTGATGCTGAGAATAATAGACAAGGTGGATTCTATATCTGTATCTGTATCTATATTTATATCTCTATTTGTAACTGTCTACATATATATAATATATATTATTATATACATATATACACATATGCATAGAAACACTCATGTATACACACACACACATTTGTCTGTAGATATATATATACATATAAAATCAGTTAAGCAGTGTAAAATATCCATATTCTTGTGCCCATATGCATTTCACCAGATATTGGTTCTCCTAGCCCACTATGACCTAGGTATAGATATTATTGAGTCATGTATACCTCATCTCAGGCTCTGGAGAATTATTTTGGACACTTCTGGAGGGAGTACTTTCTTCTCATAATTACTCCCAATTTGCCTTAATCTAATTAATTTGCTTATTTTTTTAATAATGTTGCCCTCTAGACATGGAAGGACCACGTGCTACAAATCAAATTAACATCAATCTTTATCTTAATGCCCTACAAATGTTCAAAAAAAAACAAAAGAAACCTCAAGGAAACCTTGTGTCCACATAGGCACAAAGCTGTAACACTAGGGATTGCTACTGAATCCCAAGCCCTCCTGTTCCATAAGGTCTTCCTGCCTCCTCGACCCATAGCTCATTTCCATAGAGTCCTTCCCCTACATATGCCCCAGGCTTGAACCCTCCCACTGTCTCTTCTCCTTTCTGCTTTCTCATCCACAGGCTCACTCTCTTCCCGTGTATATGAACCTTGGAAAACAAATTCTCATTCTACTGTGTAAAGCAATGCAGCTTTTCTCCCTAGCTCCTCCACAGGGATATTATCATATGAAAATGTGTGAAAGACCTCAGTTGAAAAAAATGGTCATTTTAAAATCCAATATACCTTTCCTAGAAAATAATTGTGATCTAAAAAAAAAATCCACTCCCTTTTGATTATCGACCAATAGATAGTTCATTTATGAGAGTCCACTGTGTTACAGGACCTTTTCCAGACATTTCCCTTCCATGATTCTGTTGACTCTCACAACACCGTTGAGAATAATTTTTATCACCTATTTTAAAGTTGAGGAAACCGAGAATGAGAGTGTTAGGTGACTTTCACAAGATCACACAGCTAATAAGTGGCAGGACCAGGATTCTGTCTGAATTGTGTCTCACTCCTAATCCAGGCTTTTAACTGTGATGGCATAGACACACACACACACACACACACACACACACACACACACACACACACACAGCATCTGCCAGGGTGGCTGGGACACAAATGGAGATATTTTGAGGCTTTTGTGAGTCTTAGTTCAAAGCAGATCTTCAGAGAAATAGGACAGGAGGGATTGAAGGGATGGGGAGCCCAAACTCCAAGAAGGAGGTGTGAGGGCCAGGCAGCTGTAAGGAGAATGAGGTGACACTGATGGTGGGAATGTCCTGGGCCCCCATGAGGGAGGTGGGGGAGGAGGTGCCAGTCTTCACAGGTCACAGGACCCATGTGGGTGCAGGATGAGGGTTGTGTCATACTGGAGTCCTTTCTCACACACTGAGGGCAGAGCTCAGAATAAGAGGGCCTCCTTGATTCTGTTCCACTATGAGATCCAAGAAAATCCTCTCCCATTCCCATAAATAGTTAATATTGAATCATTAACAAAGTCTTGTTCAGAGCTGCATGCTATTTATGAGGAGTCCAAAATCTTACTGTGAAATGTGAATCTGTGTTCTATTTCTAGTTTAAGCATTTGCCACCCACCTTCAGAAATACTCTGAAACTGATCTAGATTGTTCCTGGACTTTGATTATACCTCTCTCTGCGCTGCACGTCCTGGCTGTTGTCCTGCCATGACAGTGCAGCTCAAATCCCACCTGCTTTTTTATCCTTCATGTGACATATCACTCAAGTGAGATTATAATAAATTTCTTGACCTCCTGGCTTGGGTCTTATATTTCTGTACCTCCGTTAGCTCGTGGAGGTACAGCTATGCACAGAGGAGTAGTTAATGATTTTGAAATCCTATTACTGGCATTAGCGCTGACTTTACAAAAGCTGTTCCTTATGACTTAGGTCATCCTCATAGGAGACCACACTCTGAGAGAGGCACAGGGAGGTGTGATGGCCACATCATCCTGAGAGATCTGCCCATGTCTCACCTGGGGAAGACATTTGTTCTCTTGCTCAGGTTGTTCCAAAAGGCTTAGTAATGGGGAAATGGTCAGGACATGGATTCCTGCTCCTGATTTCTGGGATCATGAGGTTGAGATGTCATCTGGTCCATGCCTCTGCATCTATGCAGGACAACACCCAAACTGTCAGTTGACCTGACTTGGATGTAGGTGATGAGTCAGGAGCATAGTTGTGTCATGAAGATGAGATTTTAAGCCTTGGCTATGAGATCTCATGGCTTTGCTAGCAGTTCAGTATAAATATTTTGACCAGCAAAGCATTGGCTTTCTGAGGTTTTCTATTGTCAAAGTGTCTGCTTCCTCCCTCTTTTTCCCAAGCAGAGTACCATGCAGATGTTACCAATCCTAGGGGAGGACTCTAAACCCTTCTGCCCACTGCATCTTGATGTTGCTGTTGCCAAGGGAAACACAACACGGTCAAGCACTGGATGGAACAACATTTTACTCACACAGAGAAGAGACAGCAAGATCGGCTTCAATAGTGGGCATCCATCCCCCATGGCCAGCAGGTCTCTCCCAGGGACCAACAGAGGGCAATTGGCCTCCCTGCACCCCTCTCACATGGCAGTGGAGGAACCCTGTCCCTCCCCTCAGAGGACAGATTTAAGTGGGGTTGGCCAGGTGCCATATGATGCACATGCTTTAAGCAGAGACAAAGAACATGCATTGAGCCTGGAACAAAGAAAGATGTTCCACACAAGGTGATAAGCCCAGCAGAAGCTGTGTGGGCTCTTTATCTCTTGATAGGGAAGTGTTCCAGGCCCAAGGGCCATTTTATGTGCCTGAGTGGGGATTGAAAGACTGTACACGTGAGACTGCCTTTCCCAGTACTTTTATATTGTCAACTTTCCACCATCTCATGGAATGGAAGGAAACGTTGCTGAGCTGTATCCAGAAATATTTCAAACTGAGAAATTGTTTTTTCTCTGTGCTCCAAAGAAAGCATCCAGCAAATTGATTATCTTTTTTTTTAATTTTCTCTATCTCTACAAACTCTTTAAACAATTATAAATGATAAAGCAATACTCTTAAAGTCTAGAAGAAAATTCAGTTACTAATTTAAATAGCATCTTTTAAAGTTATATTTTCTGAGTGTTGCTGGTATTGTAATTTTTTTATATTTATCTCATATGCTGCAACTTCTAAATTTTTGCAGTGAACGTTCTTATGCAACCATTCTTTCATTTTTATGTTTTTTTTTGTGTGTGTGAAGAAGATCAGCCCTGAGCTAACATCCATGCTAATCCTCCTCTTTTTGCTGAGGAAGACCGGCTCTGAGCTAACATCTATTGCCAATCCTCCTCCTTTTTTTTCCCAAAAGACCCAGTAGATAGTTGTATGTCATAGTTGCACATCCTTCTAGTTGCTGTATGTGGGACGCGGCCTCAGCATGGCCGGAGAAGCGTGCGAACCCAGGCCGCCAGTAGCGGAGCATGCGCACTTAACCGCTAAGCCACAGGGCCGGCCCCGTTTTTATGTTTTTATCTCATTTGGCTAAATGCTAAAACAATTTTATGTAAAATGGTAGATTTATTTTAAACTTTAATTCATCTACCCCAGTAAATATTTGTTGAATGAATGAATGAATGAACCACCCAAATTATTATGCTAATTCGCATTCCCAATAACAAAGCGTTAAGTAGCTTTTGTACATAACCCCACCATGAGTTTTGTGAGATTTTTTAATCTTTAACAATATATTATGAACCTAAAATCTCCCTTCTAAAAAAATGAGCTATATTTTTTCTTTATTAGTGAGGTAGAACTGTTTTTCCAATCTGAGTGGAAATTAGAATTATTTCTTTTTTTTAATTGATTATTCATGACTTTTTCAAATCTTTTATAGGAATGTTTACTTATTTACTCCTAATTTATATGAACTCTATGTTTATTAGGGATATTAGTCCTATAACTATTATATGTAATCTATTTTTCCAAGTTAATTATTTTTATTAAACTTTATTTTTTTAGAGCAGTTTTAAGTTCATAGCAAAATTGAGGGGAAGGTACAGAGATTTCCCATATACCCACTGCCTCCACACATGAATAGGCTCCCCCATTATCAACATCCCCCACAAGAGAGGTACATTTGTACAAATGTACATTTGTACATTTGATGAACCTACACTGACACATCACTATCACCCAAAGTCCATAGTTGACATTACTGTTTACTCTTGGTGTTGAACATTCTATAAGTTTGGACAAATGTATAATGACATGTATCCATCATTATGGTATCATACAGAGGATTTCCCTCTAAAAATTCTCTGTGCTCTGCCATTCCTCCCTCCTCCCCTCACCCCCTCAACAATCCCTGGTAACCACTGATCTTTTTTTACTGTCACCATAGTTTTTTCTTTTCCAGAATGTCATATAGTTAGAATCATACAGTATGTAGCCTTTTCAGATTGCCTTCTTTCATTTAGCAATATGTATTTATGGTTTCTGCATGTCTTTTCATGGCTTGATAGTGCATTGCTTTATAGTGCTGAATAATATTCCATTGTCTGTGTGTGTTACAGTGTATCTATCTATTCACCTCCTGAAGGACATGTTCGTTGCTTCCAAGATTTGGCAGTTATGAATAAAGCTGCTCTAAACATCTGTGTGCAGGTTTTTGTGCGGACATAAGTTTTCAACTCCTTTGGGTAAATACCAGGGAGTATGATTGCTGGATCATATGGTAAAAGTACATTTACTTTTGTAAGAAACTGCCAAACTGTTTTCCAAAGTGGCTGCACCATTTTGCATTCCCACCAGCAATGAATGAGAGTCCTTATTGCTCCACATCCTTGCCAGCATTTGATGTCGTCAGTGTTCCAGATTTTGGCCATTCTAATAGATGTGTAGTGGTATCTCATCGTTGTTTTAATTTGCGTTTCCCTGATGACATATGATTTGGAATATCTTTTCATTTGTATTTGTACATCACCTGGTGGGGTATCTGTTAAGGTCTTTTGTCCATTTTTTAATTGGGTTGTTTGTTTTCTTACTGTTGAGTTTTAAGAGTTCCTTGTATATTTTAGACAACAGTCCTTCATCATATGTGTTTTTTGCAAATATTTTCTCCCAATCTATGGCTTGTTTTATCAGTCTCCTAACATTGTCTTTCACAAAGCAGAAGTTTTTAATTTAATGAAGTTCAGGTTATCAATTATTTCTTTCATGGATTATGCCTTTGGTGTTATATCTAAAAAGTCATCGCCATACCCATGGTCATCTAGGTTTTCTCCTATGCTATCTTCTAGGAGTTTTATAATTTTTCATTTTACATTTAGGTATGTGATACATTTTGAGTTTATTTTTTGAAAGGTATAAATTCTATGTCTAGATCCATTTTTTTGTTTGATTTTTTTGCTTTGTTTCGTTTTTTGTTGAGGAAGATTCACCCTGAGCTAACTTCTGTTACCAATCCTCCTCTTTTTGCTAAGGAAGACTGGCCCTGGGCTAACATTTGTGCCCATCTTCCTCCACTTTATATGGGACGCCGCCACAGCATGGCCTGACAAACGGTGCCTCGGTGCATGCCCAGGATCTGAATCCAGGCCGCCAGCAGCAGAGCACATGCATTTAACCACTATCTGGCCCTGGAAAAATTAAATTCTAAATGGTGGAAAGCATCATTAAAAAGATAGAAGGATACAAAATTAAGTTGGTGAGAAACTCAAATCTTTCCCTCTGAATCAAGTATAAGGCAAGGAGGTCCCTTCTCACCACTCGTTTTCAACATGATCCTGGAAGTTCTAGCTAATACATTAAGACAAGAAATGTAAATTAAAGGTATACAGAGTGAGAAGGAAGATACAGTGTCATTTTTCACAGAAGACATGATCATCTATGTAGAAAATCTGAAAGAATCAACAAAAAAATCTCCTGGCACTAATAAAGAATTATAGCAAGGTGCAGGATACAAGGTTAATATGCAAGAACCAATTGCTTTCTTATATACCAGCAATGAATGAGTGGAATTTGAGATTAAAAATATAATGCCATTTACAATGGCACTCCCAAAAATGAAGTATTTAGTTATAAATCTAACAAAATATGTATAAGATATATATGAGGAAAACTATAAAACTCTGAAGAACAAAATCAAAGAAGAACTACATAAATGGAGAGATAGTCCATGTTCCTGGATAGGAAGATTCAATATTGTCAAGATGTCAGTTCTTCTCAACTTGAGCTATAGATTCAATGCAATCCCAATCAAAATCCCAGAAAATTATTTTGAGTCTCAATAAAGTGATTCTAAAGTTTATGCAAAGGGCTGATGTTCCTCACAAAAAAAAAAAAAGGAATTTAATTTTTCCGTATTTAACCACACAGATTGCATGTATCCAAATTTTCCTTTACATATTATGGATTATAAGTTATTAAAACGTTCTCCAAATAATTATTAACTACCAACTACATTTTTAGTGTGTTGATTGCATTTGTAGGTACACGGCTGTGTATATTTGACAAAACTCATTGAATTGTATACTAAAACTTAGTGACTTTTATCGTGTGTAAATTGTACAGCAATAAAAGTGATTTCAAAATTTTAAAAACAAGGATTTACTCCATATATGTTTGTGTGTGTGTGTGTGTGTGTGCATGTATGCATGTATATTTAAACTGAAGGAGCAGTCAGGTGGAGATTTATTAGGAGATGGGTGGGGAATGGGGAGCACAGGAGTGAGGAGATGATGGTGGGAATAAGGATGATGTCTGTCTCCTGGCCATGGCGGAGGGACAGAGTTAGACATCTGAAGAGAACCAGAAGTTGAAGGAGAAATGATCACAATTAACGCTGCTTCAGGGCCTGGGTTAAAAGGGAAAACAAAGAATTAGGGAAAAATGCAAATATACAAAAATACAAACTTTTCTCTCCTGACTCTTGACCCTGTCCTCTGTCCACTGAGGCCTCCACAGCCACTAGCAGAGGAGAAAGGAGAATAGAGCAATGGTGACAAAAACAGGAAATTAAGTCCATCTATAATAAGTTAGTGAGCAGACTCCATATTTATTGTTTCAATTCAGGCAGCAGACTACAATAGCATAAGCTGTATAGGGACATGGGGTCTGTGTTTTGGGATTTCCAGGGCAGCCACAGACATGGAGAAGGAGGGCAATAACTGGGTTTTAGAGAGAGGTTTTGGGCTTCTGGACACTGGGGTAGAGGGATCCTCTAGGTAAGAGCTCAAGTTTTGCTGGGACCTCTCCGCCATTCAGGGAGCTCAGGGGGAAGAGAAGGTCAGGGTCCACTTCAGCAGCAGCCTCCAGAGGACTGACCGCTCCCCTCTCCACAGCAGCTGGAGCCCCCCAAGGGCTGGCTGCAGCAGTCAGCGCTCTGGTGTCTGCAGTGGTGGGACCTGCGACGCCTGTGGTGGCTCAGGCAGCAGCCACCTCCCCCAGAGCTACAGCAGCCCCCAGAGCTGGGGCCACAGCAGCCCCCAGAGCTGACACTGCAGCAGGAAGAGACTGGAGGGCACTTTGGAGGACACTTTGGGGGGCATTTCGGGGTGGGGCACTTGGGAGGGTACTTGGGGGTGCACTTGGGAGGGGGTTGGCACTGCTGCTGACTCTACTGGCAGGACATCTCGGTGGGTGGGCAGGAGTTCAAGAGCTGAGGGAGAGTCAAACAGCAAGTCAGACCCAGCACACTTTTGCCCCTTCTTGCCCTCTTAGCATCACTTATAATTATAGAAACATAATCTCTTACAGTTTTACTACTTTTTGTGGTCTTCCCATACTCTTGCACCATCTCTGTGGAACCTCAGCACAGCCTTGCAAGTCAGACAAGCACTTTCATCTCTTATACAAAGTAGTAAACTAAGACCAAACAATGTTCCAAATATGTCCAAGAGTCTAAAATCTTGTAAGTAGAGATGGAACTGATTCCAACTAGGCCCTCCAAATCTGAAATTGTCCGATTTATAGGCCACTTACTGGAATATTATTTCTTAAGGGAAAAATATAGTAACCGTTCCCTCTTGTCATAACTTCCAAGATGATTTTAATCTGTAAGGTCAGTATTGCAAATGACCTTGGAGATTATCCGCCTCGGTAAACTCATGTTATTAAAGAAGAGACAGATAAACCTCTCAATTACTACAGACCTTGGACTTGAAACCTGACCTCCTGATCTCAGTCCAGAGCTCAGGTCTCCTCTCCCCAGCTCCTCAACCTGATGGGTTGGCATAGTGACTCTCAGACTTCCTGTGTCCTAATCAACATGGGAAGGTTGTAAATGCATTCCCAGACCCGTGGATATGTGGGTTTAATAAGCCCAAAGGAGCCTGAGGTCCCTGTCCACACCCTGCTTCTCCTTTGCAGTCAGAGACAGGGCTGTATTTTCAAAGATGAACTCCCTCCTGAAATCTGTCAGAGTGGAGCATGGTGGCTGTTCAGTGTCCCCATACTGAGAGGCTCACCCACAACAGATCAACTTGTTTTCTCCAGAGCCAAAAGGCACAGCCACCTAGCTCTTCTCCCTATGTCTTCAATTGGTGCCAGACCCCTCCCACACCCTTCCCTCAGTCTTCCAGAACCCTCCTCCTTTGACACAGTGGCCTCCTTCCCACAAGGTGTTGCCTCACTTGCCCTCCCACACTGGTCTGAGCATCTCTCTGTGGAAGACCCGTTCCCATTCCCAGTGGACACTTACTGGTGCACAAGCAGCACAGGGTCCAGCAGCGCCTCAGGAGGGAGTGGATGGAGGTGCTCTGGCCCCAGGCCCTTTTATCCTGGCCTTGGGCTCTGCCTCCAACCTGTGAGACAGGGCCTGGGCATGAGACGATTGCTTCCTGCTGCCCACATGGGTCCTGTGACAGGTGGTGACTGGCAGCTCCTCACTTGCCTCCCTCCATGGGGCTCAGGGCAGCTGCTCCTGGCTAGGAAAGTACCTGCTTAAGATGGGGGCTGTGGTGGGTGGAAATGAACACCACCATTCCCAGATTCCTTGGGTGCCTTATTTTCTGTGGCAATGGCTCTCTTCACAGCCTTCTATTCACACCTATAGACCCTAGTCTCACAACTCTTCCTTTCTTTTCACCTTAGATATGAATTTTCTATCTGGACCTCTGGATCTAGATGGCTTGCTGTGAAAACCTACATGCTAAGTTGTGTGTGTGTGTGTGTGTGTGTGTGTGTGTAGCATAGTGGTTGAGAAAGAGGCCTTAGAGACCTCAGCAAAGTATTCAACTTCTTTAAACCTCTGCATTCTGATCTTTTAAGTGGAGATGATGATAGAAATACATTCTTTGCAAGCTCTACAAATTAATTAAGATGGCAAAGGGGAAGTAGGCAAGATAGTATGCAGTACTTGGTAACATTCAGGAAATGGATAGATAGATACATAGGTAGGTAGGTAGGTAGGTAGATAGATAGATAGATAGATAGATAGATAGATAGATAGATAGACATAAAGAGAAATAGTTGTAGACATGGATTTTTAATGGACAGTGGGAATTTTTCAAACCACAGATTCCTTGTAAAGTGGGTGGAACTTGTTCAAACTAAATGCCATTTTTATCCTCCTATATACCTCAGTGAGTTTGGCTTTATGAATGTAGAACTAGAGTGACTATAGGAAAAGAGGACTGAAGATAGGCATATTGCACTAAATTATAGCCTAAAAAGAATTTGCAGTTTCCTGGGGCAAATCTGAAGACATGAGGTAAAATAGAAATGAGAAGGATGAAGAGAAGGGAGCAGCCACAGAGGTGGCCTTAAAGTTTGACTTGAAGTGGTGTCGCTGATGAACTTAAGAACAGCCATATTTAATCTTCAATTTAAAATTGTTTGCTTGTTGCAATATAAATTTCTTGTGTTTCTCATGCTCAAAAATAACCAAATGAAAATTCTAAAAATGAAAAACACAATATCTGAAAAAATGAATATGTTCAAAATTAAATATAATGTCAAAAAGTTATTGGATGATCTTAACAGGTTGTAAACTACAGAAGAGCAGATTGGTGAACTTGAACTTGAAGAAGTTACCCAAACTGAACTGAAAAGAGGGGAAAAATATTGAAAAAAAAATGAACAGATAATTGATAATCTGTTGAACAAAGGAAAACTGTCTAATATACATGTATTTAGAGTCCCAGAATAAATAGAATGAGAGGAAATATATTTTAAAATAATGGTCAAAATTTTCCAAATTTCATGAAAACTATCAACCCATAGAACCAAAAAACTAAGAAATCCCACACAGGATAAATAAAAAGAGAGCCAATAAGTGGTACAACATGTCCAAAGAGAAGATACAAATTAGTCTGGGAAAATAGATGAAAGAGAGAGGAATTCTGAGGAAGTGTTTTGGGAAAGATTTGTCAAAGAGGTGTGATAGGATAGAAGCTTCAAAAGGTGGTGAGACTTCAGTCTGTGGAGATGGTGAAGAGGAGGTTGGAGGACATTGATTGGAGAAGCAGTGTGAGAATTTTTGTGGGGCAGGATGATGCAGGTGGTCTTTGTGAGCAGTGAGTGGTCCAACCTGAGTAGAATGTAGGGCCTGTGTGATGGAGTGGGGAGGGAGAGTGAGGCACAGGCTAAGGCTGAAAAGAAGACCAGGACCAGGTTGTGGGGAGGACATCGCCAGGGTCGGTCACTTGGGTTTTATTGAATGTTCACCAGAAATCCATTGAAGGTCTTAGTTTAATTTTACTGTTGTTACTCGTATGCTTGTCATTTTCGCAAAGTAAAGATAATCACACTACTGCTGGACCCTAATATGGAAAGGGCATGTGTGGCAGACCCTGGAACAGAAGACAACAGAGGTAGGGAATGAGGTGAGAAAATACCATGGCTGATAATCCCCCAATGTTACCACAGATCCACCATCCCTTATTCACAATTTCCAAATCCAAAGACCTTTGCAAACTCAGCCTTTTGTCCGATTGTTAACTACACTCATTTGGTGGCAAAAAACTGACCTGAAGCCCATGAAGTCGCTTCACCTTACTGTGAATATTCATATGTTCTGCTGCAGAAATATTAATGGTCTCCCCTAGGGGGTAGGAGTCCTGAAGCCATGGGATGTGGAGGATCTGGACTATATACCGTGCCTAACCAAGATGCGGTAGGCTCCTTGGTTTGGATTCCATGCTGTTGGTGTTGGCCATGGCCAACTCTGAAGTGTACCTGTAGCATTACTAATACATTATATTTACTGTACTTTAAAAAAAAATTTACTCCTTTAAAAAAAAAAGTTCTGAATTTCATCTGGTGCCGAGAGTTTCAGATAAGGGATTGCGGTGTGTAGTATTTATCCTTGAGTCACTAGAGGAGCACAGAACTCTAACATTTTTCAGGAGTATCAACTTATCTCTAATAATCGCTACTTGGAAGAAGAGAGCTTTGTTGTACCAGTCTGTCTGCCCAAATCCTCAGAGTTGAGCAATCGAGTTCTCCCTATTTTTAACTGACACCTCAAGATTTTCCAAACTCAATCATACCATCGACCTTAATTCATAATGCATTCTTGTATGGTATGTTTTCTTTACTTATTTCCAATTATTTCATTATGTTCAGTGGGGAACCCAGAAGAACAGAAGTGTGGACATGCTTATTGAAGGCCCTCCCAAGGATTCTTGTGCATTTTTCTCTCTATCTCCTTTTACCTATAAACCCTATTAACTAACTATCAACACAAATATCTTCTCTTTGTGTTAAAATGTCCTTTGTTATGATTTTGTAAGACAGTTGAAATCCTTACTTATAATTTTTTAAAGTTGCCATTGGCATTCCTTGGCAAATCAAGCAGGAGAGTTACGAAGGGAGTATTCTGAGTTATTGGATAAATTTGCCAAATAATTACAATAATGATAGTCACAGATAATCTACTGACAAGAGCCATATTAACCGAGATAATCTACCCTTCCATAATGAGCACTCAGTTCCCTCAGGGGAAAAATAAGAAGCTTCCATAGATCCTTAAGCCAGTCCTGGTGGTCTAGTGGTTAAGATTCTGAGCTCTCACCACTGTGGCCCCAGTTCGTTTCTCGTTCAGGGAACCATACCACCCATCTGTCGGCGGCCACACTGTGGTGGCTGCATGTTGCTTTGGTATTTTGAATACCAGCAGGGTCACCCATGGTGGACAGTGGAGCTTCCAGACTAAAACACACTAGGAAGAAGGAGGCGGCCACTCACTTCTGAAAAAATTGGCCATGAAAACCCTATGAATAGCAGCAGAGCATTATCTGATATAGCACCTGGAAGGTGAGAGAGTGGTGCAAAAAGACCAGGCAGGGATCTTCTTTGCCGTACACAGCCAAATCCACTGGACTGCACTAACAAGGGAGGATAGGATTCTCTATTGGATCGGGAGTGCCTTGAGAGCAAGGCCTAAATTTTTTTCCTCTAACTCAATGGTTCTCAGTGAAGGAGGGTGTGTGGATTTTGCAGACCCCCACTCCCATCCCCATGCCCCCAGGGGGAGCATTTGACAATCTGGAGACATGTTTAGTTGTCACAGCTGGGGGAGAGGGTGTTGTGTTTGATACTGTCATCTAGTGGGTAGAGGCCAGGGATGC